TGTGCCGGTTTAAAGCCGGCAGCAGGAGGGGAGAGCAGATAAGAGCCGCCCTGAGGCCTCCGAGGCTGAGCCTTCCGGCCGCCCCTTCCTCAGCAGTCACCGTCCTCAGAGGTGGGATGCGGAGCTGTGCGGCCCTTGGAGCTGACCCGCGGGGTGGTTAACGCTTCTGAGACATCAAGAGTGGCTATGTTGCGATAATAAAGGGAGATTTTTGGAGGATATTCAAGATAGAAAATTTAGAAATGTTGCAAGGAATATTGGTAATGGGGCATCATAAGGTAGAGAACTGTACAGAAGGCATTCAGTGGTTTCTCTTCTGAGTCTGAGAAGAGAGAAGCGAGCTGGAGTGCTTCTGTCACCTGTAGGTGAAGGATTTTCTAGTCTACCCATGGGCTCCAGACAACTCTCACCCTGCAGACCTGAGACAGTTAGAATGTAATATATTTTGGAACAATGGGAGTGTTTGCACTGGTTTATGCGAGCGGGAGATGGTCAAACCTGGTGTAACTTTTTTTTGTCTGTTTTCTTAATTATTATTTGTTAAAAGAAATTGGGCTGCAAAATGAAAATCGTGACTGCAGCCTACCCTGGCTAAAGGTGCTCTGTGAATGGTAGCATTTTAGTCTATTGTTGGTGAGTACTCTGCAACTGCATGCTAATGCTAAGCTCTTGCATGGTATTCCCTGCAGTGCTGTCTCTCCACCCGCAGGGGTGCCAGGCCTGCCCTGTTTGACCAGGACGTGGCCTCAGCTAGGCTTGTGGTTGTGTCATGAGCGAATATGAGGATAAACCTCTGGAGAAGCTCCTGCTACTATAAAATACTGCACGTGTCCCTCAGCTACCTGGGCTTTTGCTGCCTCATTAAATGAGTCTTGGTACTCATTTGATGTGAAACTTTTGTTTCAGACATTGATTTAGATATCTGAAATGTCTCTGGAAGACTGTATTTGACAAACTCCCTTCTCTGTGATGACACATCTTTCCGTATTAGTATAGTTCGTCCATGTGGGAGCCAGAAATTTTGCGGAGGGAGCTCAGTTTCCAGAGAAACTGCAGACTTCATGCTGTGGCAAGTGTGCAACAGCCTGCACTGCCTTTTGATCAAAGGCAGAGCAATATTTAACCAGTGCTTTGCTAACATATGCTTCTTTCTCTGAGAGATGGTGATAAAAGAGGGAGTGTTTTTCTCTGTAACAAACCCACGATGCTCTTAGAATCATAGAATCATTAAGGTTGGAAGAGACCTCCAAGATCATCGAGTCCAACCGTCAACCCAACACCACCATGCCCACTAAACCATGTCCCTAAGCGCCTCATCTACCCGTCTTTTAAATACCTCCAGGGAT